CTCTTCTTCTCAACATATTATTAGTAAATATCAACATGAAATTCTCCAGTTACATGGCAGTTTAACTATTTCTAAAGATATTGTATCAACAAGTAGAAATTATTTTGATAAAATGGAAATACTTATTGAATTAACAGATTCTACAGCTGCAGAGCAAGGAATGATTTTACATGAATTAGAACAAAAAATTGGCGATTGTGCTAGTACTGCCCGAAGTGCTATAAAGGAGTCAGTAGTACAAGAAATTATCGATTTCTCTCAAATTCTAAGCTATTATCACAGTGAAAATCGATATTTTCTTAAATATGGCCCCAAATATGAATCAGCAATTAACTTAGCTTTTCTTAGACATAATTATCATATAATCTCTTTCGATTATACAACTTTTGAAGAATAAGACATTTTTTATCAAACCTTAAAGTTCGGCATGATAGACATCATATACATTCTAAACAGATTCTTCAATTTTTTTCTACCTAAACTTAAACAGATTCTTAGTTGGCTAAAAATATAAAGTAATCATCTGAGTTAAGTCGGTTATTGTACTGATTAAGTGAGTTTGATCAATTCTTTTAAACATGCTAAAAATCTTTTTGGTTACAGTCTTAAGCATTTTTAGAAGGTCGGGAAAAAAATGAGAGAGAGTTGGGAAAAAAAATATTTGAAAAAGTTAATTTGTTGCGTGGTAAATTACTCTAAGACCATTACAAACAAATCATTTTCAATTTCATGTATTTTATACCATTAGATGATTATATTTTGCTTTATTGTTCTTTAGAAAGTTTTAAAGAATTTACTAATATCTACTAGAAAATCGAGAAATTGGTATATTAGTTATTATAGAAAGTCACATATTACTCGCATTAGATAGAAATAGAGGTGGCTCGTCTTTACAGATCAAGAAGCAAATCATTGGGCTCTCTATCTCTCAGTGTCGGAGTTTTTGATGATTCAATTCATTTCTAGAGCACCTCTTGTAAATAATGGTATAATAATTTCAGCTTATCACCATATTTTAATATACGAAGGAGCCAAAAAGATTTCGTCATTCCTCTAAGACAAATACAAAAATTAAAATTAGACAGATTAACTGCGAAAGACAAATCTCAGAGACCGTGGCAATAATGAAAGTTCAAAACAATAAGTCTAGACTTGTAGCTCAATGAAATAATGGAGTTATTTTCTGTCAAGAGCATCTTGCTTTAAAGGTTAAAACAGAAAAAAGTTCTGCACCAAATATTGATAAAATGAGTTATATCTGACGACCTTCGAAGAAACAAACGATGAATCAACTGAAAGACAATCAGAAGAAGAAGAATACATATGAGATGGCCAAACTAATGAAATAGATGCAGATCTAGAAGAAGCCTACATATAAATGATGGATAGATAGGCAATTAAATGAGAAAAAACCTAAAGGAAAACCAAAAGATAGATGAATAGTGTTCAAATGACAATTATCAAGTCAAGAAAGTCAAGACGTTGGAGCTAAGAAGACAAACAATTCAAAAAATTCTCACAACCGTAAAGACACATTTAATTCTTTAGTTATATATCATACACTTGTAAAGTTATATACTACTAATCACTTTTTCTTCAATTGTAAATTGCACACCTGTAAAGTTGTATAGTATAGAAATGATAGACGTGATGTACCAGCGTCTATAAATGACAACACCACATACGGAAACAAACACACCAAGAAAAATGACAACATAACATACTATGACATTTGCACTAAAAAATGCAAACTCTCTGTAAATTCAATCATTGTAGATTCAAAGACTTCAGAAATAAAATAAATCATTTTCATACTTTCTCTTTTTTATTTACTTTATTTAATTTTCGGACAAGGCCTAAAAGAGGGAACATCAAGTAAGCAATCAATTTATTATAATTTTATTTTCATATATAATCCTAACGCTCTTAGCCTCTTTTTTCTTGACTTCATGGCCAAAAAGATAAAGTAATTATCTGAGTTAAGTCTTTATTCTGGATTTCATGGCCAAAAAGATAAAGTAATTATCTGAGTTAAGTCGGCCATTTCACTGATTAAGTGATTTTGATCAATTCTTTTAAACATGATGAAAATCTTTTTTGGTTACCGTGTTAAGCCTTTCTAGATGGTCAAGAAAAAAATTGAGAGAGAGTTGAAAAGAAAAAGTATTTGAAAAAAATAATTTACTGAACGGTAAAGTACTATAAGGCCATTACAAACATATAATTTTTAATTTCCTGTATTTTATGCCATTAGATGATTATACTTTGATTTATTGTTCTTTAGAAAGTTTTAAAAAATCTATTAATATCTACTAGAAAATTGGGAAATTGGTATGTTAGTTATTATAGAAAGTCACATATTACTCGCATTTGATAGAAATAGAGGTGACTCATCTTTACAGATCAAAAAGCAAATCAATGGGCTCTCTACCTCTCGGTGCCGGAGTTTTTGATGATTCAATTCATTTCTAGACCACCTCTTGTAAATAATGGTATAATAATTCGAGATTATCACCATATTTTACAATAAGGAAGTTCAAAACAATAATTTAAGACTTGTAGCGTAATGGAACAATGGAGTTATTTTCCGTGAAAAGCATCTTACTTTAAAAGTTAAAATAGAAAAAAATTAAGTACCAAATATTGAACAAAATGAGCTATATTTGATGGTCTTCCAAGAAACAAACGATAAATCAACCAAAAGACAACCAGATACAAAAGAAGAAGAATAATAATAATACATACCAAATGACCAAACTAATTAAATAGATGCAGACCTATAAGAAGTCTACATAGAGATGATGGGTAGATAGGCCATTAAAGGAGAAAAGACGTAAAGAAAAAGCAAAAGATAGATGAAGAGTGTTCAAATGACAATTATCAAGCCAAGAAAGTCAAAAAGTTGGAGCTAAGAAGACAAAAATTTCAAAAAAAATCTCACAACTGTGAAAAAACATTTAATTCTTTAATTATATAGCATACACTTGTAAAGTTATACAGTACTAATTATTTTTTCTTCAATTGTAAATCACACACCTGTAAAGTTGTGTAGTATAGAAAGGATAGACATGATGTACTAGTATCTATAAATGCCAACACCACATACAGAAAAAAAAACACCGAGAAAAATAGCAGTATAACACACTATAACATTTGCACTCAAAAATTCAAAAACATCCCTGTAAATTCAATCTTTGTAGATTCAAAGACTTTATAAATAAAGTAAGTCATTTTCATACTTTCTCTTATTTATAATTTCTGTTTACTTTATTTATTTTTCGGGCAAGACCTAAAAAAGGAAACACCAAGTAATCAATCAATTTATTCAAGAAATTACATTTTATTTTCATGTGTAATCCTAAGGCTCTTAGCCTTTTTATTCTGGATTCCATAGTAAAAAGATAAAGTAATCATCTGAGTTAAGTCAGTTATTTTACTAATTAAGTGAGTTTGATAAAGTCTTTTGAACATGATGAAAATCTTTTTTTACTACAGTCTCAAGCCTTTTTAGAAGGTCAGGAAAAAAGTTGAGAGAGAGTTAAAAAATGGTATTTGAAAAAATTAATTCGTTGAACAATAAAGTACTCTAAGGCCATTGCAAATATATTGTTTTTAATTTCATATATTTTATGCAATTAGACAATTATACTTTGCTTGGCTTGTGAACTGAACCTGTGCTAATGAACTATACTTATGAAAATAGATCTTTAGAATTTAAAAATTAGTTGATTCACAAAGAATAACAACAATTTGAACAAAAAAAATGGGAATGCTTTGGTTTTATTTGGATATTCAAAATCTTGGATTTAACAAAAATATATTTTTTGTTTTTGATAAAATATAAATGGGGACGTGTGTATAATATGAAGGCTTGTAAGCTTTTTGTGAGTTTTGCTTCAAAGCTCATGTCTACTTGAAAAGCAATGTCCTTGATTCAAAATCGAGTTATTGACCAAGATCGGTTTAGAAATCTTGGTGAGTATATCATTCTCCCAATGTAGAAAAGTGCAAACTGTCTTAAGTAACATCGAAGGAACACAATAGAGCCCCTTGTATCTAGACTACATAGTTCATAACTATCAATATCATTATTTGACCATTTTTTATCAAAAAGAAAAATGATTTTTTCGGATGTCAACATTAAAAGTGCAAACTTCAATAAGTATTTTGATAAACATATAGAGCTTTGACTAAAGATCAAGAAATAGTTACTAATAGCTTGAAAAGTAAATACTATTAAAACTTCATTCTTAAAATGTCAATTTTATTAAAAGGAAGACCCAAGCCTCGTATGTTCTAACCCGTTAATTTGCTTCTCTTTTTTATGGATTTCCAGCAATATGTTGCTCAGACTTGGGATTTTTTTAATAATTTTTTTTGAAGTTAGACCCGATTGGCTTATTTGGTAAGTTGCATCTTCAAGAATTCACTATTTTCTACTACTTAAAATCTGCTAACAGATGGTATGAATTCTTCCACTTCCACAATCTTTTCTTTATTTATTATTATTATTTTTTAAGTTTACCAAATATCTAAAATATTTTTGACAAAATTGGGGCTTGAAAAGCAATCCCAAACAAGACTATTTTTCTTCGTTTTCGGGGAGAGGCTTAGTGCATGTATGAGAAAAATTGCATTCTAAGTCGGATTCAAATGGTTAAAAGTATATATGAGTACATGTCGAACATGTAGAGAAATATATGAAGAAAATGAACTACTTCATTACGCATAATTAAACAATATCCAATCTTTTGCCTTTTTTAACCATAAGTTGAACAAGGAATTTAGGTATAAAAATGCACAAATACACCTGAAAACTTCAAGAACATAGATGCCGCACATATGCATTAAACAATTTTAATCTGAATAGAGGAACTTCACAAGCAAGCGATTATATCACAACTCTCATCATATACTTACAAGAAATAGAAGAAATGTCAGCTACGACTATCCAATAGTGCACACTTAGAGAGCAATTTTCACATCAAACTCAAGAAAGATCACTTCTGAGGGTAACCAGCAGGAGGGTACCCCGAAGCTTGAGGGGGATATTCTTGAGCCTGTGGAGGTGGAGGATAATAAGATTGCCCGTATGCAGGTGGAGGATATGGCTGATCAAGGCGTGACATTTGCTGGGCTGGAGGCACTACCGTTTGTTGTGGGCCAAATTTACCATCCCGTTTGTCCATTTCGATCTTATGTTGTGTCTGATACAAAGACATAAACAGGAACCATGCAAAAAGGATGAAATGGAGAATAGATAATAAACATAGAAATCGGTATATAATCTTGACTGACAACATTAGCGGCATTTTGTCCAAACTTTAGACAATTTGCTTTTCAAAGTTCAAATTGATAAATTATAGCTTACCTGCATACAAGCACAAACCCTGCAAAACCAAAATCGCAGAATGATACAAGGAGGAAATTTTTAGATACATCAACAGATATTTGCGGAATGACGAGGAAAAGTAATGTTTCTTACGTGCAATAGACCATGTCAGCTAAGTGAGACAGTAAATGAGAAGCCTCTGAAATTTCTTCACTTCCAACAATCATTGCGACAATGGAAAAAATGCAAGCAACTTGTTGGAGGCAGAACATGAAACCCTTGATATTTGAAACAAACAAAATCAACTGAATTAGATACGGACACTTCAAAAAAATACTTACATGCAATTGTCGCATCGTGTTGTCTGTATGTTGAATTCATCTCGCAATAAAAATCGGGTTGAGGCAACTGAATTCCCAAAGCACAAGAAGACCTGGGATTTCAATTTTTCACGTGGGAAGACGAAATCAGCAAGTAAAGGTATGTAAAAACAAAAACAAAAAGAGGATGGAAAGATGTTAGTCTACTCTACATACAATTTATGGAAACATCTGAAGAAACATAGAAAGTCCTTATTTGATTTTGATTTTTGTGAAGTGACTTTGATAAAAGTGATTATTATTAAATTTTTTTTTTTGAGGTGGGGGGATGTGTAGTTTAAAAGTAGGTTAAAACTATGGTCCACATGCAAAATTATTTCATTGGAAGATTGTGAGCATATCCACTTAAACCAAACTCATTCCCAGTGATTTATTCAGATCGCTGATATTTTATACAAGTTAGTAACACAAGAATGGGCTTTTGAGTAAGCTTGGTTCTTCTCACTTGTTTGTTGCAAGGAAAAAATAATCCTGCATCATTCCAGAAAGGCTAGAACGGAACACCATTTGCAATTTGATCCTGATTGCAAAAAAAAAACTAATTCCTGTGATTTTAAATCATATGATATAAATATTCCACAGAGAAAAGAAAAAAGACCACAAACAGAGGCCAAATTAATATGAACTGTCCAACACAAGTTTTTTGACAATTTATTCCATGCTTTAATGAATTCAACATTTACAATTTCATAAAAAATCTTCTCTTAAAACCAAGCAGCATCAGTTTAAACAATAATAATATCAATATAACTTGGTAGTAGTAGAAGAAAAACAATGACTACAAAAACAACAGTCAACACCAATATCAATCTGTATTTACCTCTGTGGCAAGGCAAAATTTGGGGCAACGACTTTCTCCACACTGCCCACTGCAGGACATATGACCCGCACAACAGACATACCTATGGTGAGCACCAGAAATGTTTATAAAACCTAGAGATGTGTATTGAGAGCTCAACGAGAGGCGCAAACTTCAATTACCTGGACATGTCATTGTAAATAGCTCGCTTGCGCAACGTATACGATACACAGGGTCCACTGTAATTTGAAATCATTAGATGCTTAAATACAGATCATAAGTAGCTTATCCACAAATAAATAAGTAGAACTACTCCTAAAAATTGAAGTTGCGTTCAGAGAGTGAATGGCATGATAAAAGGCCTTTCCTTTCTCAGCATTAATCTCACAGGAAAAGACAGTTTTGTCATCTCCATCCATGCAGTCATTTTAATTTCCTTATTCATTTATACTTTGAGATCAGTACAAGAATGAAAACATTTCTTACTGAAAATTCAACATCATCTCCTAGAGTATCTTACTAAGCAGCAAACCCAAGGTTTTCAAAACCTTAAATTTACTACAAGTATCTCAAGGACTTGCCTAAAGGGCAAATAAAATGAGTCTCCTCCAAACATGCTGAATAAATTGAACGCAACACCTTTTTAACATATGCTCCACATACTTTGCTAAGGGATACTGTGAGGACCTTGACCGAGAAAATGGCAAAGGCACGTGTGATGTCATGATGATGTCTTGTCATGGCCGAAGGCATGCGCGATGTCAGAATAATGCACACATTCGGGTTCGTTTTGGGATGCGGTAGTAATTGAGGCATGACGATGCTTTTTTAATTGATATTAGCATCGCAGGACGGAATTTGGGGACACAAGTCGGATTTGGCATTGATCGATGGATTGATGCAGGCAAGTATTCGATAGCATTAAGACCTTGTTGTCTAGCTGACTTTAGTCCACAAATTCAGTGGTCAAAATATACATAAGGGTGGCATGTGATGGGCGATTACAAGCAGTTATGCATGTGTTTGAGTTGGAGGGCAGTTTTCAGCCAAGTGGGGCTGAAAATGTGAAAACTTGACCCTAGCAGTAGGAGTGTCGACTGCAATCCGGGATTGTCTTTATAAATTCTAAGTGTTAAGAACTTAGAAAGTAGAGAGGTATAAAAATGTCTATCTATTTGTTTAATGCTCAACATTCATCTTACCCCCAAGTAATGCAAGTCCCACGCATTTTATTTTTATGACTACATAAAATCAGAGTTAAATACAAAAGCAGAAAACAGAAATAATTTCTATTTAACCAAAACTCACCTAAACATTCAATGTACTATTAATTTCATGAATGAAACTAAATTCTCAAAGTCAATCCTAGTCTCACTAAGTCCACACAGTACCAAATTCAAACAGATAAATCAAACTATAAACACCATCCACAACCAAGAACTTAAAAATCCGGATCTAATCAAACAAAATAACATAACTTAAAAGCCCATCACATCTACTTACCACCAAAACGCCAAGCAACAATCTGCAAACGACAAAACCACCGAAAAATCAAACTAAGTCCACGAAAAAAACTTAATTTCATTTTCTTATATATAAAACAGTTTTTGCACAAAAATTAAGAGAAAAAAATGAGTGTACAGGGAGGATCGTTTTGAATTGTGCGCATCAGATCGGTGTGCCATAGGTTACGATAGCTCTGTCGGTGCTGCAACTCGTCCATATACTTTTGACTCGGCATTTCGCTTCTTTCCCCAAAAGATTAACAGTAGAAATAAGATCTGAGCCTAAGATTCTCACAATGAAGAAGAAGAAGAGTTACGCTAAAAAAAGTTCAAGTTGAAGACTAGTTGGGTCTTGGCGGGCGACTTAATCTTCTAATTTTTATTGTTTTAATAATAATTTTTTGACTTGTATATATGGAGCTTTCGAATTGAAAAATACTATTAATCCCCAGTGGGGATGCATCCCCAATCTATGTAGATGTAAATGATTAGTTAAATGATAGGTGAAATTTCACCTATCATATGACACATTAACGCCACGGGATGCATCTGGGATGAATAGCATTTCTATTTCGAATTTGTACTTTATTTTTTCGAAAAATGGAACAATAATAAAAGGGAAAATTGCAGCGGAGGTCCCAAACCTTTCATTTTGCTATAGATTATACCTTAACCTTTCATTTTTATGGCCGCAGTCCCAAACCTTTATATTTAACTGCAGCCATGGTCCAAGTCTGGCATGATATCCCTGCTTCATCCGATCTTCTTCTTCTAGGAGCATCCGATCAACATCTCTAATTTCGTCCACGATACCTTTAGTCAACAGTGAAATTGTAATTTTGACTTAAATGGACAAATTAAATGAGGGACAAAATAAAGTATTTTTACTATTTCCATAATAAAACAATTAGAATAATTAAATTTAAAAAATAGTTTGTACGGTTCATCTTCCCCAACCTTCACTCCCCTATCCCTTTCTCTCAACACCTCAACCCAAACAAAATCAAAATCTTATTTTATGTTAAATAATTTTAATTGTAATTACAACATGATGAAACAAAAGTAAAGTCTCCATATATAGCACCCTTTGTTAAAACTCAATTTTTTCTTAAATTCATTTAAATCATACATTTCACAAAATTCACAATTTTTATCAACTTTTTAATAAAAATTTCATCAATTTTTATTTTAATCAAAATTTGCTAGAAATCTAATTTTAGTTAAACCAAACTGGAGCAAGATGAACTATCACGTCCTTTTCATATCATTTAAGTTGTTTGTTTTGCGTTACAATATGTAAATGTTGAATTTAATTCGTTTATAAAAAAAATGTGTATGTACTTAGACTTCGTGTGGCTGGATTCTTTTACTATTTGTAAAAGAATTTTCTAAAAAACTTATATTCCTTTGGAACTCTTCTAGATAAACGCATCTCTTAATCAAAATCTTTAGTCTTCTAGTAAACATTGAAAAATAATACCACCTTCAAAAGTTATTTACAACATGAATATCAAACTTAAATAATCACAAAGGCAATGACGTTTCAATCAAAAATATTGTACTACAGCATCAACATCATTATGTGCAAAGACTTCTCGGAAGGGGCTGCATGGTCGCTACTGGTGAGAACTTTTTGTGGATGGGTTGAGACACTTCTTTCTCGATTCAATGATTATTCGAACTTCGATAATTGGAAGAAAGAAAAGAGTAAGAGACACTTGATAAATTCAGCTTTAAAACACAAAATAATCTTTGGTGGTGTTGCGACTAATAAGAAACAAAATGAGGACATAATTAGGTATCAATATTCGACGAAGTGAGGTTTGGTGTGTTCCCAAGTCTTATTTTTAGGACGAATTTTTGTTCATGAAGTTCGGTGACAAAATTACAGGATAAGTTTGAAGAGAGTTTTGACAATCTACAGTTTTATGGATATACGATTGCACGTTGGTATTGAGCCCTTGTTCGATTTTGATCAATACACTTTTTGTTGTTCCGTTGTCGGTACCTTAATATTTGCATTTCGTGTTTGCGCTTTCGTTGGTTTTTACAGACTTGTCAAACCAATCACTTTCTTATTAAGCCCCTATTTGGGCTCCATTAATTTCAAAATATATTTTTCTCTCTTCTTTTTAATTATATATTCTCCAATGATATAATATTACTCGTAAATAAAAAAAAATCATTCTTTTTCAACCACACATTCTTCAAAAACTCACTATTACAAAATACATTTTTTTTTTTAAAAAAAAACTAATTATAATGGAGCTCAAGCAGGGGCTAAAACATTTGGAAAATCACATACATTGTAACCAAATAAAATGCAAAGTGTAAGCTACAGTTCAAAATTGTCATATTTTTGTTTGAGATTGTTGTGGCCAATAGAGAACTAAATGTCAACATATCAACATAATTAGTGAGTTTTCAGAAAAATTACGTACATTATCTTTCTATATATAAAAAGTGCATATTTAACGAAAGTTGTTGGTTTAACGGAAAAACTAACGGAATTTGTTGTTTTAACGGATTATGTAACGGAATTTCTTGTTTTAAACAGGTAGCTGCACCTTTTTTCAGTATTTTTATCATAATTTTGTATTCCGATATTCGATTGAGGCGATTCAAAATGCGTTGGAAAGGTAACCCATCTGGCTACAACTTTGATTCAGACATCATTCTCCAATTCGATCACTTTCTATGCCAAAAATATATCTCAATATAATGGACTATGTAACAGAGTGTTTTGTTTTAAACAGGCAGCTGCACCTTCTNCCACATTTTCTCCCTATTGCTGTAAATTGCTCTTGTATTGGAGAGTTTTTAGAAAAAAATTGATCTAAAATAACTTTTTCGATGAATTCTTTTACAGGAAGTAGAAACTCTGTCAAATGGGCGTCACGGTGGAATATGATGCGTTGTCCTCCTTGTCCCATTGGACATTTTTGGGGGGTACATCAAGAAAAGAAATTAAAATATATTTTTTATTAGTATTTTTAAATATGATGCAAACTTAAAAATATAAAATAAAGTAAAAAGTTAAAGTTAAAGTGAAGATTACTTTTCTCTCCCTCATACCATAAGGGATGCAACTCGGGGTGTGACCAAAATATTTTGTCAATCTCTACTTAAAAACATTGTAGTTATTTTGATGATATTTATGGTTTAGCATGCCACCCTAGAGTTACGCATTCATAATTTATTTTTGAATAATGTTATCTAACAAATATATGTTACAACACCAGTTTAGTTGGTGTGATGTGATAAACTCATTAAACCCTTGTTTGGTCCGGATTAAAAATCAGATTTTAATTCAAGTCAAAGTCAAACAATCAATATTAACCACATCTTTCATGGGTCCAACAACTTTTTAACCACACATTTCAAAATCTTCTATCATAATTTACTAAAAATCTAATTTTAATCTCCACCAAACACCCTTTAAGAGATGTAGTAAGGATAAATTTATTTGTACATCTCCCTTCACCACTTGATTGATAGGTGGATGATGACTTGGTTAACAGGTGGATGATGTGGAAGTCTTATAATGATTGGATTAAATATGTGAGATGTCAAATGTAGTGTGAGATTGTGCCAAATATAAATTTAGTAAATTAAGGAATAAAGAAATATATACATGCAGCAAGATTGATCTAGGTTATGACAATAAGTGTGTGTTTGGTAGGGATTTTTTGGGGGAAGAATTGATTTTGAATAGTGATATGATGGGAAATGTGTGGTTGAAAAATAAGATAAGATTATTGATGTGATAGAAAATATTATTTTATTGAAGA